CCTGGAGGATGGAAAACACGCTGTACATCATCGAACCAAGACAACACAACAACAAGATCAGGGTCAGACATTTGACACAAACGTAACGCAGCAGGCGATTCCCGCGGCAGCCACGAGGAAGAAGAAGAAGAAGTGCTAGCTGGACCGTCAACCTGCGGAGGAAGAGGCAGCACATCGGGAGCCGGAGTCTCACAAGATACGGAAGGGGTGACGAAACGCGAAAGAGTGTCAGCGTTCTGGTGTAAACGACCAGGACGGTGCAGAATAACGTAGCGGAAGTCCGCCAAGGTCTCAAGCCAACGAGCCTTGCGTCCAGTCGGTTCTGGAATGCTATGAAGCCACTTCAACGCCTGATGGTCCGTGCGGACAAAGAACTGAACACCCAACAAATAGTGGCGGAAGTGTGAGGCAAAGGTAACAACAGCAAGGAGTTCTCTCTCGGTGACACTATAATTCCGCTGGGCCTTGTTGAAACTCTTACTTGCGTACGCAATCACACGTTCTTGCCCTTCCTGTTGTTGGCTAAGGACCGCGCCCATACCGCTAGCACTAGCATCCGTGTCCAAGACAAAACTCGCCGCCCCTGGACGGAAATCAGGAAACGCAAGGATTGGCGCAGAGCACATCGTCTCCCGCAGAACTCGAAAGGCAGTGTCACAATCGGCAGACCAGACATACGGCACACCCTTCTTCATTAAGGCCGTGAGCGGAGCAACAATGTTGGCATAGCTAGGAACAAACTTCCTGTAATAGCCCGTGAATCCAAGGAACTCCCGGACCTCGGACACAGACTTGGGCGGAGACCACTTTTTCAAGGCAGCTATCTTAGATTCGGAGGTGTGAATTCCGCGTGCACTCACATCTACGCCCAGAAACTTAGTTCTACGGGACAGAAAGACACATTTACTTAAGCGTAACTTCAAGTTGTTAGCGCGCAACCGAGAGAATACAGTGCTCAGGCGAGACAAAGAAGAGGACACAGAAGACGACGCGACAGCCATATCGTCAAAGAAGACCCGTGTGACGGGACCATCGGAAGCATGTGTCAAATCACCAAACAATCTATCCATGACCCGTTGGAAGGTGGCGGGACCATTACAACACCCCATCGGGAGTACATTGAATTCATACAAACCCAAAGGAGTCGTGAAGGCCGTCTTGGGTTTATCCGTTGGGTCCATGGCAAGTTGCCAGTAGCCGGTCGCTAGATCCAAAGTGCTGAACAGGGAACACCCGGCAAGAGAATCAAGAGTTTCGGCAATATTAGGGAGTGGATAAGCATCGGGAACGGTGACACTATTGAGTTTCCTGTAATCAATGCATAGACGAAACGAGTCATCCGGCTTCTTTACAAGAACAATAGGGGCAGCCCAGGGACTAGATGATTCCGAAATAATGCCCCGCTCCAGTAAGTCATCTAGCAAGCTCTGCAAGGCAGGGCGAGTGTGAAATGGGAGTCGCCGAACGGACTGCTTAATAGGGCGGGCATCCCCTGTCTCAATAATGTGTGGATAAATATCACAATACCCCGCGTCAGTCGGCTGCAAAGAGAACACATCATGGTACTCGTGAAGGAGGGAACGGAGCTGATCATACACATCGGCAGACAAATGCGAACAATGGGAAACAAGGTAATCGTCAATGGCCTTCAAACGGCTGGGGACATCGGCGGTGGTAGCTGAGCAAACAGTTTCAGCATCAAGTTCAACCTCGCTAAAGGACGCTACCGAGCCCACACTTGTACCGGGATAGAGGACAACAGCGGTGTCACTACTATTAATAAAGGACATGACAACATGATCAGATCTTACCAGAGAGGAGCCAACCTGGACTGCAGGGTGTTTCTGGCAGAAAGAGTCGAGCGGAGTCACTAGCAGACTATCCTGGGATACAGACTCAGACAACGAGCAAGAGGCAAACACAACATGGTTAGTAGGCAATTCCAGACGGTCGATAAGGCATACACGAGTAGTTCGGACACTAGTGTCAGACGCACACTGAGTAGAACCATCAGAAGCACACGGAGTAGGACTATCAGAAGCACACGAAGTAGGACTATCAGAAGCACACGAAGTAGGACTAGCACTAGCAGACACACATGGAGTAGAACTGGCACTAGCAGAAGCACACGGAGTAGAACTAGTAGACACACACGGAGTAGAACTAGCACTAGCAGAAGCACACGGAGTAGAACTAGTAGACACACACGGAATAGAACTAGCACTAGCAGAAGCACACGGAGTAGAACTATCTGACGCAGACGCACACGGAGCATCATCAGAAATACACAAATCAGAACTAGCAGCACTCTGCTGATCAACAACACACGCAGGCTGATTGACAGATAGACCAACAGTGGTAGTACCAACATGCATCACACGGCGGGACAGATCAAGCGTGCACCCAGAAGCAGTGAGAACATCAGACCCAAGGATGAGGTCATGTGTAACACCACCGACAACAATAAATGCATGATTTGTATAAAACGACCCAATACGAAATTTCAACGAAACAACACCACAAGTACTTAGGGACTGACCCGTTACACCAGTGAGGAGAGGACGAACACTATCCTGCTGGAGTGTTGAGATGTCAACGTCGAAGCTGCGTAGCAAACGTAGGCTGATGAGGGAGACACCTGCACCAGTATCCACGAGTGCTGTGACAAAACGACCAAACAACTCGACAACAACACCAAGAGACGGAAACACAGAACATAAGGACACAGAAGGACACAGAATGCTCGGCTTACTAATACTAGCTGGAGGGACTGACTCTTGCCGAGCAGGGCCAGCCTCAGCTAGTTTCCCTGCGATCGTCGTTGTGGGCCATTTCGTCTCCGTGCACCCTCTGGGTAGTTTGGGCAGGCGCGCACCAGATGCCCCGTCTGGCCACAGTTGAAACAACGGCGCACCTGCTGCGCACCCTGAGAACTGTCGCTCCAACCACGGCCGCCGCTCGCGTGTGCTGATGGAGGAAGACTACCTGGAGATGGAGAGCTCAAAGAAAGCGAAATGGAATCTAGCCTTTGCAAAATCTTGTCCAACACAAACATCTGATCATGAACATAATTACCACCTGAGGCTGACGTCATACCGGTAGTGGAAGCTGATGCCAGTGATGGAGCAGGCGGGAGTGCAGTGCTTGACCCGCGGACGGCGAATATGGCCGCAGGTGTCGGCGACGCACCCGCGATCGCGGCGCCGTTCGACCGACGCTGCTCTGCGTCGAATATGGCCGCCATTTCCAGAGCCCTTTGCACAGCTTGTGCCAAATTATTCGGGCTGGCACTTCGAACATGAAGACGAAGCTCTGGAGAAGGGAGGCCATCTATAAACTGATTTACCAGTAAACGTTGGAAGAGGTCCGTGTTTTCCTGGCCTGGGTAGGCCCTTGTCGCTAATTTCTGCAACGCAGACGCAAACTCTACCGGACTCTCAATTGTTTTCATTGTTCTTGCCCGAAACTCGGCCTCGAACGACGGGCGATGCTGCGGAGGGTTGAAATATGCAGTGAGACGATCGCACAGCTCATCGTAGGCATCATTCGGGTGCTGGGCCCGGAATGTCTGGTAGACATGAAACGCCCCCTCGCGGAGACGACAGGGCAGGAAATCCAGGCGCTGCTCATCCGCATATCCGTTTGCCTGACAGGCGACGTTAAATTGGCCCATAAATGTCAGCCAGTCTTCGCTGCTTGTTCCGGTAAACTCAGGTGGTAAGATGACTGGGCGTCCTAAAGCCGCCGGGCGGGCCGGAGCTGCTGCTGCTGCTGCTGCTTGAGGCTGCGCCATCTGAACAGGTAAATGCATGGGTTGAACTGAACACTACGAATATACACACTATTATAGTTTACCGCTGCCACCAATGTAGTAGCTGGCCCTCGGAGACAATTCCACACACTCAAACAAAGCACTCACTTTGTGGTTTCACGAATACTCGTTAGGACAGAATTATTAGTTACACACTCGGCAAGTAAAGATAAGAAGTGAAAAGAGCACAAGAAAAGAACAATGCAAGAAGACAAAACACGCGGCGAACGGCAGCCATGTTTTTAGGTCATCAACCAATCAGTAATTTATATAAACCGGTTGCCGACGAAATTCTAGAATATTCCAGAGCTGTGAACTGTGATTGGTTAATTATGCCAATGTTCTAGAACAATAACACTAGCAGCAGTCATATGGGTAAATACGGGTTTAGCCATACACGACTCATACATTACTCACGAGCGACTCACGGAAAGGGTAATAACATGCAGATACAAAATACGCAAGGAGAGAAAAAATGTAACTAACTGCCCATCTTGGGGTTTGAACCTAGGAATCTGTATCAACCCAAGCTCTACAAATAAATACTCTTTTACTGCGAAAATTATACTTTCTATTAAAATGCAACTCCTACACTAGCATTGGCTACGGAGTAGACGCCACATACTTTCCCAACCGGCGTGACCACTCACAGTATGGGCGACTGCAAGTGCATCGGCAGTAAGACTCTGAGGAAGGGCAGGCACAAGCTCAACATCGTTGAGAGGCGATTTTACGCTGCGAAACAGCACATCATCCTCAATCACCAGCTGGGTTCGGACTCTGCTGTAGCTGGAGTTGGGAATCGGTTCACCGGAAAGAAGCTGGGCCTTAAAGGACGAGATCTCCTCGTCAGCAACTTGGGCAGTGGCGATGTCACCCATAGCAAGAGGTGGGAGAGCACGAACGGTAACACCGGCTGCTGCAACATCAGGCTGTGGCTTCTTAGGACTGTCCGACACACGGAACCAGGTAGGGACACGGGTTAGCTGATCCGACATATTGTCCTCTGAGCGGACCCATTCAACGTCAACTGTAATGCCAGATACAGTGATCAAATCGTCGATGATCTGCAAACGACGCTGAACCAACGTAGTGTGAAGGCCACTCACTTTAACACGACGAATGTTGTTCAGCAACTGCGTCAACCAGCCATGGACTGTACGCGAATCAGTGTGCAAGACCACGTTCTTCACTGGCCAGCACAGAGCGAGGTTGAGCGACTTGATGACAGCGTCTTAGTCTGCTTATCATCGGAAGGTCTGAGCCAGGACTTGTCTTCGACGATAGCGCCGTTGACGTCCAGAACCGCACCCATGGCCAGGCCAGAAGCATCGCACCAAACGTGCCACACTGTGGTGTCATCACAGGGCACAGACCAGACACCATGCACAGGATCGTCTCGACGGACACAAGACTCGACCTCACGACATGGTTGCACGAGATGAGGCGGTACGAGGTCATCCCATTTCGATGTGTTCTCACCGACAAGCCGCTTGATGTAGTTGCACAGCGGGCGTAACCAGGAACATACTGGGTAGTGACTAATCACACGGCCACACCAACTGAACACTTGACGACGAGTTGGTGACTCTGGCAACTTGAGGTCAACACCAGCACGACGTTCCCACATGACTGTATCTTCGACATCAGAAGAGGACAGCTGTAGGCCCAACACACGAGCAGTTACGAACTGCTCTGGCTCTTTCGTCTCAAGCCCATAGCTGGCGAGTTCATGGCGGACGATGTCGGTCTGGGCAGTAGGGACGTAGAGGTCGTCCACATAGTTGTCAACGTCGGCGTGATCACAGGTAATCCTTTGGACAATCATGTCCAAGATCTTTGGCGCAACGTTCAGACCGAATCCCATGCGGGTCATGGTATACAACTCGCCTTTGTACACAACGGTTTGGTACTTGTACAGGGTGGGATGGATCCGTACTTGCAGGTAGGCTTTCCGGATGTCGAGAAGAACGCTGTCGGCACTAGGTCTGCGCCAGTCACGGAGTTTCGCGTCACAAGCTGGAGCGGTGACACCGGGGTGGGACACAAGACAGGCATTCAGGGCACGGTAGTCCAAGCACAGCCGAACCAGCGTGGATGCCTTGTGCTGCTGACTAACGGCAAGTATCGGCAAGACAGCGACAGGCTCTCCGAATGCCTCGGAGTCGTACTTGACAAGCCATCCATTGTCCACCCACAACTTCATTTCTGAAGCAAACTGCTCCTCCTCGCTGACGCTTAGAGACTTCCGCAAGTACTCTCCAATGCCGGAACCAATGTGCTGCTCGGGTGCAACGCCACCCTTCCACGACCACTGAGCAATCCAATGACCACGCTCATTCGACCAGTTAGCTTGGCAATCATTCGCCTTCAACGTGACTGTCGACTCGGACTCGGTAACATCGATGTGGCGAGAAAGCTTGTTAGGCTTCTCAGATTCGGGTTGGGGAGATGCACCGGCAGCGACACCTGCCTGCTGACCAAACACAACTGAGGACAGCGTGCCCCCTAGACCGTCGTAACGTAGAGTGAGTCCACCGACCTTGCCAATGGTATCTGTGCCAATCAGGAAGTCCGTGTTCAAGGACGACAAGTTGGGCACAACGAGACAATCAATAGTGATCCGAGGCAAATGGACGGCTCCATCAAGTCGTTGCACACGTAGCGTGACGTTGCCAAGGATAGTAAGTGGTGTTCCGTCGATAGACAACAGCTTGTCCTGACAGGGATAAACTGCAGCTGATAGGTTCAATCGGTCAACAACAGCCGACTCCACAAGTGTGCGAGTACAGCCAGAATCCACCACAGAGGCAAAACGCGTCCACGTACTAGACTCAGTACTGGGTTCCTGTACGTCCACGGCTACACGAACTAGGTCTCCATCCGATTTTGCCAGAGCAAGGCAAATATCCGTACGTTCAGGTGGCGCGTGACCAGCAGCGACATTTCCAACTCGACTCCTGTTCGGACAGTCCTTGGAAATATGCCCTTTCGCTTTACAGGCATAACAGGTGACATTGGGCTTACGCTTCGGGCACTGTGATCTCACATGGCCCACGGCCTTACACTGGTAACACACGAGCGACTTCTTGGGCTGAGAGCTAGCAGCAGCAACAGCACCATGGGATTCTGGGAGTTTGGATGCCTGCATGACTCTGATTTGATTTGCCATATCAGTGACAGTGAGCTTCTGCGTAGCAGACGCCATACGAACGTGGTGACCAATATCAGCTGGCAAACCACTCAGGAACCGCTCAATCAGCACGGGATCTAAATTATCCGCAATCTTATGGCCAGACAGCGTAAGTAGACGCTTCAAATCTGCCAGGTACGCGTCCACAGGCTCTCCATTCCGCAAAGCCCTTGACGTAAATGAAGGGTAGGCAGCACCAGGCGTGGGGCAAAATGCCTGCTCCAGCGCAGATTTAATTTTGCCGGTGATTTTTTGTCCTCGTCAGACAATTGAGTGACAACCGTAAAGGCTTGTCCACTCAGGAACTACGGAAGATGCTCAGCCCTGGCAGCGTCATCGGCCCACTTATTGGCCTTGGCTAAGACCAGAAACTTAGCCCAGAACTCATCAAAGTCGTCCTGTTTGCCCCGATACGGGCGAATAAATCCATCCAACTTCGAAGCCATCTTTCAGAACTTCCAACGAGTTTCGGCACCAAAGTTGTCGGGGAATCTCAAGCACGCACACAGAGTGCACCAGACACAACGAACACCTACTCAGTTCATATGGTTTACAAAGTTGAATGCATGATAGGATTAAAGTAACGGGAAGAGAAATAGAAAGTCGAAACTGTCTTCATGCCATTGCAATAATAATTACAACCACTGAACACCACGTGGTTGACAGCTCTATCTGCTCAGGGGGTGCATGCATGCGTGCACAGCACACCCACACGTAATAGGACGTGACGTGGCAACGTGATACTAGTACAGATGCTACTCGCAACTAGTCTCCAGCAGGGCCGATCTTGGCAACTTTAAAGCCAGGTGGTCACGCCGAGGTCCGCCAGGTCAGTCGACACCACATTTCGCCACCTCTTCTTTGGGGCGTGACAAGGACGGGGGGCAGGCAGCTCCCCGAGTAGCAATTGCTTCGGTGAGCATGAGTCGTCCATCCTGCCGACGTGACCCAGCCAACGAAGCCGGTGGCGACGGATGATGCGGGTGATATCAGGGTCAACACCGAATGTAGCTGCTAATGTGGCCGTTGAGGTCCGATCATCCCACTGTTGACGACGGCCGATACCCACGATGGACCGAACACACTGATGGTGAAACGTGTTTAGCTTCTGGAGGTGGCCTGCCTTGGTGGTCCACGTCTCCGCACCATACAAAAGGGTCACCCACAAACACACACACACATATCTACACACACAAACACACACACACATCCACGCACACATGCATCCACACACGCACACACACACCTTTGACCTTTGACGCCCCATCTCCAGTGGAGATGATAGGCTACTGAGTTGGGCAGCACTTGATGTGACGCTTCAAATCGCCACTTCTCCTAAACGCTCTGCCGCATGCGCAGTGAAAGTCCTTCGGTGCCGGGGAGGAAGACGATGTTGATGGACCCGCCTGCGCCATTCCGGGCGATCGTGTGCGAGCTGATACCACTCACACTCCGGATTATCCAGTGAACGCAGATCACCGACAATCGTGTCTCGCCAACGCTTCTTTGGCCTATGCCGTGGTCTGGTTGCCTTAAGGTGGCCCTCTGAGCTTTACGGCACCCCGCCCGGAAAACAGCGTAACTTTGGTTACAATGCATATAATTGGTTCAAATTTTCAACACTAATTCCTGAGATCCCATAGTCTGATCTTCACCAGGAAAAATGGACCTCTTCACAAGCACTGTCGGTGTGGATGTGAATTTACGAAAATTGCCGTATATAGAACTCGTAACCAGCACTCAGAAATACCAATGTTTTTATCATGACATTTTTCACATGGAGTACATTCTTTACATCCAACTTGAGGTGCTAAAACAACAATATACAAAGAAAACCTCAGAAAAGGTTTCCAATATCGAAAACACAAAACCATAGTCCAAATGCGCAAAAGAACGACACATGTTGGAGATGCTCTTTACAGCCTATACTACCTGAGAACAGGCCACATTGAGTTTTAGCACCTAGCCAAAGGTCCACGGATTCAGAAAATATATACTTTTGGGGGTGTAGAAGCAACAACTGAAGCCACAGCCTGGTTACAAGGTCCGGCAATGGCTGAAAAAGAGAGAAAATTGGGTACCAAAATTTGATTTACTAGTATGTAAATGTGTTTTACAGGGTAAATAGTGGTGTGAGGGGTCTTCTTGTGACGTAACAGTGTATGGTTGACATTTTTTGAGCTCTGATATTGCTGTCATAAGTATGTCCACAACAGCCCTGGGCGGCTTATCGCCCCAGGAAATACGGAAACGGACTGTCTTTCTGGACCTTACCGACAGCCTTTACGCGAAACCTTTCGGAGCGCGAAGCGGTGAGTTAATCACTGCATTGGAATCAAGTACAGGTTCGAAGGAAACTGTCATTGGTATCCAGTATGTAGGTCGGCTTTGTAGGCTGACTTTAAACTCTGTAAAAGCTCAAGAAACACTGAGCTCAAATGGAATTGTTGTGGCTGGTGAACGTATTTCTGCCACGCCCGCGATCGACACAAGGAACGTAACTGTCCACGTTCAAGAGGTACCACTGTGGGTGGGATTTGAGTGTATACAGAATGCTCTGGCTAGCTATGGAGAGGTGCTGGGGATTACCTTTGCGAAGACCCGCCTTCCCAGTGGTGTGTTCATTTTGAATGGGACTCGATTAGTCACCATACGCCGAAAGGCTGAAAAGGCAACCATTCCCTCCTACATTTCTGTCTCGGGACGAAGGGTTCGGGTTTGGCACCACGGGCAACAGCAAACGTGTCGAGTTTGTGACAGAGTTGGACACGTTGCCAAAAATTGCACGTCCACCACAACCACGCAGACCACGACACCCCCGACGAATACGGATATAGCTAGCAGCGCAGAATGTGCGGCGGATACGGGAACTGACCCCCGCACTGCCGAGAGTTCAACTCTGCAAGTGAACTCGGCCGAAACAAGCGCTTCACAAGCCAAGGAAGTCCCAACGGGGCTCCCCACTGGCGAAACTACACAGCCGGCAAGAGATGCGTCCTCGACCTCCCCTGCTCACCCAACCTTTGCTGCCGTGACCGCTGCCTCCTCTTCCTTGCAGTCAAAACCCGATCTTTCAGATGAAACAGCTGACAACCACACTCTAGAAAACTCAGAAAGCATAGCAGATTCCCATGCCGACACCAACAGTATGGACTCGACGCAGACTGAACAAACAAACAACGACACTAATCTTCACCACAACGACGACCTTGTTCCAAATTCTGAATCATCCGTGGCTGCATGTTCAACAGCTCCAGCAACAAAAACGCAAACTCTTCCGGCAGCATCTCCTCCCACGATCCAATCACCAGCCACCTCCTTGCCTTGTTCGTCCGTTTCCCCCGCCAAGAAACGTCGCCCCACCGAGTTTGATACGTTGCGGTCGGACCCTACTGAAAGCTATTTGAAAAAAAAGAAACACTAAAAAATGATCCGTGTGTGTCTACTAAACTGTCAAAGTGCAGTAAAGAAGATCTCCGAACTGATATATCTATTAGCCGCAAACTCTATTGATATTTTATTAGTAACAGAAACTTGGTTCAACGATTCCCATCATGATGGTCAAGTCTCCATTCCCGACTTCTTCCTACTCAGGAAAGACCGTGTAAGTGACACCCAGAGGCGAGGTGGCGGAGTTGCAATATACTACCACCAGTCTCTCAGTGCATTCATTTCCCGCAGGGCTGACTTGGAGCCTCCTCCTCCTATTGAATGCCTCTGCGTTGAACTTCGCCTCAAAACAACATCGGTTATGCTTTTCAACTGCTACAGGCCTCCGTGGCAGAATATTCAGACATTTTGCCAGGACATATCTGGCAAAATTGAACTTGTGTCAAACACTTGCAAACATAACATTGTCCTTGCGGGCGATTTCAATGCCAAGTTGTCGACTTGGAATGTTGGAGACACCTCTACCCGTGAGGGCCTGACATTACAAGATACCCTGGACAATTTAGGACTATATCAACTAATGCGTGACACACCTACACGTTTCTCCTCCACGGGAACTTCCAAGTCGTTGCTGGATCTCGTGTGCACAAACAACATTGACTTTGTGAAATTCACATCTACGCTTGCACCACTGGGCGACCACACTCCAGTTATCTTCCACTTTGATGCATCGCCACAATCGGCCGACACGACACCCTCGAGGTGGGTGCCTGACTACAGGAATTCAAATTTCAAAGCCTTGTGTGATCACCTCACCCAGCAACCTCTCTCAGACTGTATGACTGACGCGACTCATGGTGACAGCGCTCTATTTGCCTGGCAAGGTGTTTTTTTATCCACAGTTAATAACTATGTCCCGATGAAACTGATCACGAAGGGTAGCAGGACACGATCGCGCCACAAACCGTGGTTTTCCACCAGTCTTCGCACGCTTCACCGAACTAAAGAACGACTTTTCAAGCGAGCTAAATCTACGGGCCTCCTATGCGACTGGGTCGCCTATAAATTGTCTCGGAACGCTTTCGTTTCAGCCAACAAAACTGCAAGAGATAGCTACTACTCCCGCCTGGGACATGACCTTAATAATGGGTGCCAAACTAGAACATGGTGGAACCGTATGAAGCGGCTATGTGGCATTTCCTCACCCCTTGGGACAATACCAACTTTAGTTTCTGCAAATGGTTGTGACATAGTGACTGACTCTGAAAAGGCAAACCACTTAGCAGACCATTTCGCACGACAAAGTCAGACTCAGAACCAACAAAATCACCAACGGCGTACACAACCCACAGCACCTTGCACACCACAAGCACCACGGCTCGAAAGTTTGTTTGAATTGGACGAGGTTACTCCTGGCCAAGTCTTTGATGAAATAAAACTGCTAAAGGTCCATAAGTCCTCGGGCGGACCCATTTCTAACACTCTTCTGCGGGAGACCGCCTCGGTAATCTGTGATTCTTTGGCAACCCTCTTCAACATTTGCATTCGGACAAGCTCCTTCCCTGGTCAATGGAAAACTGCCGTCATCACACCAGTCCCCAAACCAAAAAAACCATCGCACTCAGCTGAAGGTTATCGTCCAATTTCTATCCTGCCCAGTATTGGGAAACTTTTTGACAAGCTGGTAAACCGACAACTCGTTCGTTTCCTGACGGACAATAATATCCTCAGCCAGACACAATTCGGATTTGTTCCTAAACGGTCCGCAATTGATCAACTCCTTGTATTAACACACAATATATACTCTGCATTGGACCGGCGTTGTACATACAATATGATATTCTTGGATTTCGCGAAAGCGTTTGACAGAGTTTCACACCACGACCTTATCACAAAACTCACCTCGTTTGCCAACACCTCGACCACCCGCTGGTTTGAAGACTACTTGACGGACAGACGCATTCAGGTTCGAGTTAGTGACTCACTGAGTGACCCCCGTCTTCTCTCTGCTGGGGTCCCACAAGGCTCTCACTTGGGTCCAGCCTTATTCCTCCTATATATCAACACCCTGCCTTCGTTAGTGCAATCAGATCTGTATCTCTTTGCCGACGATACAGCATTAGGTAACACATCGTCTTCCGAAGTACAAGAAGACCTGGACGCGTGTGGATCTTGGGCTCTCTCCGTGGGGGGAGATTACAATGCTGAGAAGTCAGCACATGTGGTTTTCTCCTCCTCAACGGACCCTCCTCCCTACACCTTCTCCCTTAATAACAGTAACATCCCAACACTCAACGAGCACCGCCACCTCGGAGTCATCTTGGCTCACAACATGTCCTGGCAGCCACATTTCCTTCAAATGATAACGAAATTTCGCCAACGCATTGTTCTGCTGTGCCACATGGCCTCTCGTTTACCGCCTGCCGCCATATTGGCGCTTTACCGCGGATATGTTCGGCCTGTGGCGGAATACGCTAGCCAGCTTTGGTTCTGTGGCGTGCCTGCACGAGATACCGGGTCACTGGACCGCCTTCAGGCAAAGGTCGCTAGACGATACCTGTACCGGAAAGGCTGCGCAGCTGAGTGGAGCACTTCCAAATCCGAGCTCTTTCGTGCAGCCGGTTTGGAATCCCTCAGTTGGCGCAGACACATTGGAGCCCTCTGTCTGGTTTTTAACGTTATAAAGTTTCATCCACACCTTCTTCGTGCATGTCACTTCTCTCTTAGCTCTAGTGCTCGTCGCCCATTCTATCTCTTATTTGCTTCTGCTCAAGGTCCATATCGAAGCCGCCATGTTCTCTCTCATTCCCTAGCTGTATGGAACAATTTGCCAAAGGACTTGCGTGAGATTGCACATGCTCATACATTCAAAAGAGACTTAAAGCGTCATTTCTCTCAGTACTGTTACGACATTGCTGGGATCCCTGGATTTTAAACTGTGTTTTTCTTTCTTTTTCCCGTCGCGTGTGCATGTGCTGCTGTTGTCTGGCGCACTCCTGCACGTACTTCTCTGACATCCGATGCTTCATATTTATATTTTTCCCGTCGCATGTGCATGTGCTGCTGTTGTCCAGTGCACCCTGCAAGTACGGCTGACATCCCAGGCTTCCTGTTTTTGTTTATTTGTTTTCTGACGTTTTCTGCTGGCTGAGCTCCTTGCTCTGTGTTTGGTCCGGAGCCACCCCCTGATTTAGGTACCATTGCCTTTGGGTTATCCGTCATAATAATAATAATAATAATAATAAAAGAACGGTATGATCTTATTTGGATAGGTATGTCTGTCTGTGTGTTTGCCTCCTTCTGTGTGTGTGTGTGTGTGTGTGTGTGTGCGTTTGTGTGTATGTCTGTATGAAATTTTTAAACCAACTTGCAATTATTGGAATTTACTATTATTATTTCGAAATTTCACATGTATTCACCTATGTTCAGGCGGCTATATCTCCGGAACGGCTTTGAATATCGCCCTCAAATTTTTTTGTGTGTTCTTGGATGATATAGGAAGGATTTGACTGCACTTTGGGAGCAATCCAAGAAAGTCGGTTTTTTGACCCCCAAAGCTCAGAGGGCCACCTTAAAGGGGAACTCCGGTCCAAAATCACCCCTATTTTTTATTGCGGAATCCATTAGAGTATGTCGTAAGTGGTAGAATGGCGAAAACCGGAAGCTTCTACGACAAGGATAACATACCTAAATTACCAATTGCAATTTTCCATATTTGGCACGAGGGGGCCCCCGCCCACCCTGTGACGTAAAACGTTCTCAGTGACCTCCAAATTTTTTTATTTAAATGGTAGACCTGCAGAAATTTTGAAAAAGGTATTCACTGTTTTTTCTTCAATCAATAACCCTTGTACTAGTATTCATTCGATCATCATGTTGGAGGAAGAGGAGACCACGGGAAGTGTGGAGGTGGACGCCACTTCGGATTCAACAACACCGAGGCCGTTTAGGTTCGAGCCGAAGCGCGCATCAGCGTCTGCGAAACTGTCTACAAGTAATCATTTCTGAGACTACAAAACAGATGAACGTGAAGAGAACGCTTTGGTTGCAAGTGCTCGCGTGAGAAGCACTGCTTGATGCCGTTGCGGACAATGCAGCATGATGTGGAGCGAGGTCGAGTCGACTTGTTGCTGGGAGGTTCCTGCAGCTTTCAGTAAACGCGGCGAGCAAGAAGGGCTGCAGTGCGTCACGCAGCACTCAGAGTTTGCTGTTGTTTGCCTGCAAAAATCAGTGCTCAAGGTGGCATTGCTTTCCTTCGAAGAATTTCGGGCAAGGTGTGGACCGTGGTCAAACAGGTGAGGATTCACTGAATCGGTTTCATTATTTCCTTTCTTTCCATGTTTCATGTACCGGTACAAAGTAGATGGGAAGTGTTGTGCAATGATTTTGTGTACAGTATTCAAATTCACCAACTTCCATCACACAATCATGAAGTTCTATTGCACCCATGCCAATATAATTATACTGGTACAACGATGTCTTCATGATTGTGTAAAAGTAATTAATAGTTTCAGTGTAAATAGTTTCGGATTCGATTTAATATTTCTATGGGCTACTATACTAAAGACACTTTGGCCTTTTTTCAAATTTACATCACTTTTACACACAGTTGAAACACTTACAGTGCTAGGAATAGTATGAATGAAAGACACTCGTGGTATGTGTATCTACATCTCTCCAACTGTTTTGTGCAGGATTTGGAGACATGTGGCGTATAGACAATACACATGGTTCAGCCATGGATACTTTGGACGCAAGCAGCGGCGTGTGATACCGTCTTGCGTGGTATCGAAGATAAAGCAGCTGTACCAGAAGCCAATGCAGATGCGCACTGGGGCTTTGAGGAAGCAGTTGGACATGATGATGATGATGATGATAATGCTTCTTGGCCTGGTTGACGTTCACATAATCATTGGTACATGTGCATGCAGAATGTAGAAAACAGTTGACAGACACGATTTATAACTATTCTTGACTCGGGCAATATTTGTGTTTTCGGGTGGGCGCATGCTTTGCACCAATGCAGCTGCACGAACAATCTGGTAAAGTTGACAGATACAATGGCACAAGACTGTACTGTGTTCGGGAGCATGGGGTTGTGCCGGTGCCGTGTGCCGTTGCGAATGCCGAGAATGGTTGTATGCACATCGTTCAACAGGTCCTTCAAGAAGTTGCAGGACATTGTCGTGCAGCTTCTTGGCCACTTTGTGCTCTTGGTGTATTCCAGCCTGTACCTGAGCACACCCTCCTTGGTTTTGGCGTGCGCTCTCCCTATATTGGCATTGTGGGACAGACATGCCGACTGTACCCGTGCTCTCATGCCATTGTACGAAAAGTGGACACGTTTTGGTGCCCACTTCAGTATGACAGCATGGAAAATTTCCAGACTACAAATCATACTGTACCTTGTGTTTGTGGCAGTGTAGCTGCAACCGGAAAGTAACGCAATGGAAACATACAGATAAAGAGAACCGAAATAACACACATGATAACGTTCCATGTACATCACATCAATTCTCGATTTCACTGACTAGGATTTTGAGAAGAGGACTTTGAGTAGGACTGTAGTCGTTTAGAGCTACGTTCTGGACGGCACAAAATCATGCCGTTCACTTACCTCATCGTGCTCACGTTCCTGGAAGTAAATCGAAGATGGTCTGCTTTTGCTGGCAGCAGAGGTAGAGGAGCTACTAACTATTAGTATGACATGCACCGCCAAGTTTCAGGATGGCAGAGACCCTGGCTTCAAGCGTCGCTGCTGCTTCTGCTTATAGCCACCAATGCTTTGTGCAAACTCTTGTTGGAAATCTCTTTCATAGCACATCTCAGTGAAATGCTCAGTGCAGACACGATTATTTTTCGTCGGAGAAAAATCCTTCCAACATACTCTCCATAGCCAAGCTGTCGTCAGGTTCGCGTCAGCCAGAGGAAAGCCATGCTACGACAGCCCGCAGGCGCCTCTTTCTTCGTGACATTGTTGCATCCAGAGACGCAGCAGCGAGTCGTGACAATAAATCGGGCATGGCACAGAACAACAAGCACTTCAACAATGGCCAAGGACCTTTCATTCTTGCTTTTATTATTTGAAAATTTCATCTGAGTGGACCGGGCTGAGAACGTTTTACGTCACAGGGTGGGAGGGGGCCCCCTCGTGCCAAATATGGAAAATTGCAATTGGTTATTTAGGTATGTTATCCTTGTCGTAGAAGCTTCCGGTTTTCGCCATTCTACCACTTACGACATACTCTAATGGGTTCCGCAATAAAAAATGGGGGTGATTTTGGACCGGAGTTCCCCTTTAAGCTCCCCAAACAACACTTGTTGAGGAATCCGTGCCGTGTCCATACGGGCAACATGACCCAGCCAACGCTGACGGTACTCACGCAGGAGAGTGCCAATGTCTTCAGGAAGACGCCCTCTCTGGGCTAGATCAGCAGTAGTAAGATGACGGTAGTGCTGATCGCTCCTTGAGACTCCCAAGATGGAACGGACGCATGAGCGATGAAACAGATTCAGGCGATTCATCTGTCGGGCCTTTATGGGCCAAGTCTCTGCTCCACACATACACACACACACACACACACAAACACACACATGCACACACGCACACACACACACACTCATTCTCTAAATCTCTCACACACATTCTCTCTCTCTCTCTCCCTCTCTCTCTCTCTCTCCCACACGTGACGAAAACGACATCGATACGGACTCATTCCCAAGGCCATGACTCGGCGAAGCGAAGCAACTTGTTGTTGTTTAGCTTTATTTTACTTCACCAGAAGCACAGGCAAAATCTGCCTTCTCACTGGGCGTATTGCCACAGTTCTCGCAAAATGATGAAGGTGGTGATATAAGAAAAGGAGGAAGAGGAAAATACAATCATGAACAAGGCACAAAGAGAAGACGGAAACAGATCAATGAGGGAGTACTACAAGTAACGAACTGGAATTTGAATTTGATGAATTTTTCATGAAAATAATGCAACGGATGGAAAGGTTCCAGGGTGAGGGAATGTTGACAGTTATGCGTCTTTGAGATCTTAGGAGAGGGTAAGAGAGTTTAAGATATCGTTTGTAATTGCTTTCTTAAATGCAGAAGGAATTGTGAGGGAGCGGATATCAGGCGGCAGACAGTTCCAGTACACACTACCAATGAACTGAACAGTGGATCGACCGGAAGGACCCGGCGAAAACGGGACACGAAGCAGACGTGAAGCCTGACCCCGCGTGGCACGACCATTGACTAAATCAAAGAATGTGCTGAAAAGACTACTGATCATTTCAGCACCAAGACATCTGTGAACAAAAAATAATATTTTTTGCTGATATATCTGAGTAAGAGTAAGAAGATCTAGTCGACAGAGAAGAGGGGATGATGGGGTAGTAGAGGCACCTGGAAAACGGCGTGAATTCCGGATTTGAAAATTTTGACCAAGCGATCCAACAACTGCACTGTGAGGCAAGGATAGAAAGCCGTAGACGCATAGCAGAGATGGCTGCTGATCATGCTAATGAACCACGACCGTCTGGCTGATAAACTTAGAGCACGACCATGGTGCCAGAGCTGACCAATGGTCTGGGCAGTTCGCTTAGTCACGTTGTCCACATGCAGCTTCCATGACAGTTCGCAATCAATGACCACCCCAAGGTATTTGGCAGTAGGGGTAACCTTGAGTGCGTCCTGACCACAGAATACATCAGGAATGGCAGCTCTCTGTCCACGGGGCTGAATGACCATGACTTGCGTCTTCTTCGCATTGAGCAACAGCCCAATTTCAGCAAGCCAACGTGATACAGAAGTGGCAGCTGCACTAAGCTGTCGGCACACAGTGTTGAGATCGCTGTCGGAGAACTCTAGTATGATGTCATCCGCAAACTCTTGGTGGATGACTTGTTCAGGCAGGATGGCATCTAAGTGGCGCGTGTATAGAACAAACAGCAAGGGACCAAGTATACTGCCCTGTGGCACACCACGGGAACAATGCACTGACGAGGAGACTGAGTTTGCAATTCGAACTTGTTGACTTCTTTCAGTCAGATAGCTACAAAACCATTGTAGAGCACTAGATGAGATACCAAGGGAGTGCAACTCAGAGACGAGTCGTTCATGCTGCACCCGATCAAAGGCTTTACTCATATCTACCATGACGATGCCCGTGAAGCGGCGATGTGAGCGTGCAAGCACCCACCTGTTGACGGCAAGCACAAGTGCATCCTCCGTCGAGTGACACTTCCGATACGCAAACTGAGTCTTCGGATAAGTTCATGCACTGTGAGATATTCCACGAGCTGCTTTTTCACAAAGTGTTCGAGAATACGAGATATAATCGGCAATAAGGATACTGGGCGGTAGTTAACTGGCACTGTGGGGTCTCCTGACTTATACAAAGGACTAATAAACGATCGCTTGAACATCATTGGTACTGCTCCAGTGGACAGTGATCCGTTAATGATATCCGTGAGTGGCCTAGCAAGGCTATCGGCACATTCCCTCAACACTAAACCAGGAACGCAATCACTGCCCGTGGCCTTCGCGGGATTTATGCACTTCAGACAAGCTTTCACATCACTCACCGGCACCAGTTCAAATTGCAGAAAGCTAGACGCTGGCATCGGTCCACTTGGTGGTGTTAGCGTGGATGGTCGGTCTGAGTCGTGCACAACATCCCCAAAGGTTTTGCTTAGGTCCTCCATGCCGGCCTGAGGTTCTTGACGCTGCTTAGCACGGCCTGTGACGATGTTCATAACTGACTACGACTTTGACGACATTTTGAGAAAAGCAGACACTTGTGAACGCTGATAGAAGGCGGCGTTTACTGCTTAATTCAAATACATTGGCGATCTTGAAATACTAAAATCAATCTCAAAAAGCTACAGCGCGATGACTTCCATGTAATTCACTCACACCATTGCAGTGTTGTGGGTGTGTTCACATGGCGTGAGCCAGTCAAGTGTCAGTCAGTTCGGCAGGAAGCGCGAGCTCCAACAGCAAGTCGTTTGGTGCAAATATCTTCTTTGTCTTGTACCAGCTTGAACACCAAAACTATGAAAAAAAGTTTGACTTGAGGATAGGTTGGGATTTGAACTCACAACTTCATGGTCAGCGGACAGCATTCATAACTTTTCCGGTTGAGAATTTTTTTCCTTGAAATTAATCCTTGACGGGTTTTTTTTTCATCTAAATGTCCCCCTATTATCTGCAGAGGTGATTTCTTCCCTCGTCGATTTCTTTCCTGCTTTTATACCTCGATATACCAGCGCAAGTTTCTGCTGGCCACCCCTATTACATAGACAGCTATGACCGCTGCGGGTTTTTTGACGCGTGATTGCAGGAGTTTGTGTGCGCTTAGATTTGTCATACGAATGCAGATGCCTGTGTATACGTGTGGACATGTGTCTATAGGTGTGTGTATATGCGTGTGTGCGTGTGCGAGTTAGGGTGTTGTGGGTGGGTGGGTGTCCTGTGTGTGCGTGCGCCAGTGTGCAAGTTAGGGTGTTGTGGGTGGGTGTATGTGTGTGTTAGTGTGTGCGTGTATGTGTGTATGTGTGTGTGGGTGTTACTATGTGTGTGCGTGTTAGTATGTGTGTGTGTGGTGTGTGAGCGAGATTAAGAGCGTACTTGTTAATGCTAGACCTGCGCCTACTGCATCTGCCTCTGAAATAGCCCGTCCCTGTATACATTCACGCGATTACTCCTCTCGCTATCGTATTATCACACCTCTCTCCACTTAGATATACCAGCGCTGCCTCCTATTCCATTATCGTTGTCTGATGATTGGTTCAGCCATGAAACTCTGAGTCACAACGGAATAAATTTGCCAAGGTTTTCATTGTGTGCCTTTGTGTACCTCGATATTTAGGTACTTGTTTCCCTTCTTCCTATGCTTCATCTTCCACTCTCCTCTCCCCAATTTCCCCATTTTTCTTGTGTGGGAGACTTCCGTGATAAGCATCCATTTGCTTTTGGAGAATCCTTTTAAATAAATACAATACAATACAATAAATAATAATAACCGCAAGGCAAAAAAGTACGGATAAATCGTGGGTTTTGATAAAAAAAT